ATTAAATTTATTTATCTATGGAGGGCTGAAGAGAGAGAGTATGTTTTTAGGTTTCCCACCAATAGCAGGAATCCCCTCTGTACTCTCCCCCACAAATGGTCATCCAGTCTTAAAGACCACTAGTGATGGGGGCCTCCCCACATTCTGAGGCAGCCTTAATCGGTAGGGCTTCCTGGAAGTCCCACCCATGCCCCTGGCTCTTTCCTCTTAAGTGAGGCAGAACCAGTGTAACCCTTCTTCCTCATCAAAGTCCTTCCAATATCTGAAGATGGAGAATGCATTCCTCTTAAGTCTTCTCTTCTATAGGCTAAACGTGTCCCATTCCTCCAAGTAATCCTCATATGGAATGATGTCTAATCTCTCCACTCTCCCGGCCATTTTCCTAAAAGGGTGATGGGAGGAACCAATGGACTTAGCACTCTTTTCCCAGTTTCTTCTCTCTCCCTGCCAAAGTCTTTAGGATCCAAGGAAGTTTTATTTTTACTTTAATTTTTAGGACTGGCCAGATGTGGCCACATAATAGGCACAGCAGAAGGAGCCAGCACAGAGGACGAGGCAGGATAACAGGTGGTATAACAAGAAGCCACAGGATCAAGGATCCATTGGAGAAGTTCATCTTGGGAAGAGGGTAATGCTTTCTCCAAGAGAAGAAGGGAGGGCAAAAAGTAGAGCAGGAGAGAAAGATAAATGGTGAGACAAAGAAGAGAGAACATATGGGAGCTTGAATCGTCTAAGTCCAAGGATAGGTCATCTACTGAGAAGGAAGACAGTAGGTGCTGGGCTGTGGCCTTGAGAAGAGCAGCAAAGATATGGAACAGTTATTACAGGGAATGCAACAGGGAGGCCATTAAAGAGGAACAGAAGGCTTTGCAATGAACACTGATGTCCTACTTTGAGGTTAAACAGCATGAATTTGGAGTGCAGCCAATCTGTTCAGTGACTTTCCTTAGTTATTCCAGGAACAGAAGCAAAGAAAGCAGTGGGATTTATCTATTCCTGGAGTTGGTAAGGCAGGGACATCACACGTTCAAGGGGGTAAAGGGAATCTATATTCTTGTGTAGAAGATGATTGGTCGGAATACCTCACCTGGGGTCCAGGCTAGAGGGGAGAGGGAGAAATGAATCCAGAAATGGGTCGATGGATTGGGAAGACCTGTAACGACTGTCACGAGGGGAAAGAACATTTTATTATGAATGGAGTTGGATGGATTTTTACATCCAATAGGTTATCAGCTTTCTCAGTGCCAAGCTCAAAATTATTTGAGAGTAATTAAGTGCTGAACTTCTTTGTCGTTATTTAACTTGTTTGCATATTTTGTCCAGCCCTAACCTCCTCCCTGTTCAGGCAGGGAGCCAACTGGATTGTAAAGGCACGAAGGGTATTGATAATAGGAAGAATAATTGAGAGTTAACTATATTAGCATATTAGCAGAAAAATCATTTAGTTTGGACATAGATTTATAAAATCATTAAGGGGAATATGCTAAGCGTGGGGTGAATGGGAGAAATTGGATAGAAAACTGAGTGTAAATGATTAATGATTTAAACATTACTCAATTTATATGGCTCTCCTTGCTTTTCTGTGGCACATGTGATGAGGGAAAATTTTTGTCTTTTTTGAAAAAAACTCACTAGTAACATTTAACCCATGTATTTAAAGCCACGTTGGCTGAAACAATTTTAAACAATGGTGGATGGGTGTGTGGTTATTTTAGAGTAGCAAAGGCCCTGCAGAAAGTTCAGAGAATCTGATATAATGTGTAAACCCATACTAGTCTCCACTCTTAGGACAGGGAGAATGAAAATGTTCTGTTCAGCTTAAGAGCATCATGACCCTGCGTCTTTACAGAAAACTGTTATTCTGGCATGGGGCGATACAGCAGGAAAACCATGGAAACCCTGGGCAAGTCACGCTCTCTTAGCGTTCCAGGCCCTTTTCAAGACTATGAACTGCAGACCAGCTGCTGATCTGTCTTGGTTCTCTACACCAACGGAATCCTAGACTGGTTCCCTATGCATTCCTCTTCCTTCCTCACCAAGCAAGAAAAGCCATGAGATAATAATGGGATAAGGGGCAGAGGACCAGGCTTCTAGGCTCTGCTGTAGACTAGTGTGGGACCTCTGGCAAGTTCCTTTTGGCTTGAGTTCCATCATCTATAATAGCAAGGGTTTGGACTAAAAATTCCGTCTCCTCCAATTTGAAAATTCTAATAATTCTATGATGATTAGCTGGACTATAAGAGCAAGAGAATCGTTGGTTTGGCCTCTGATGCTTCCCAGCTGTGGGACCAGAGGCAAATGACTCTGTTTGCCTCAGTTTTTTCTATCCATAAAATGGAGATAATGAGAGCATCTGCTTCCTAGGGTGGTGAGAATCAAATGAGATAATGTACACAAAACACCCTATAAAGCTTAAAGCATGTGGTAAAGGTTGGCAATTATTATCATTATCAATGCCGCTGCAGCTCAGTGTCAACAGCATCTACAGGCATCCCAACTGGCCGTGGGCGGCCTCAGGTTCTCCTCCTAACAGAGCACGGTGGCGAACGCAGCGCTGCCTATGGTAACACACTAAACACCAGGCTCCATTCAAGGCCGCTGCCAGCCAGGCGACCAGAGAACACAGCCCAAGACCTCCTGGTGACTCCACAAAGGCACCGCTGACGTGCTGTGCCAAAAACCCTCGCAGGGCCTCCTGCGGCCCCCTCCAAGAGGTGAGGCTCTTCTCTTTGGTCTCGGGCCCACAAAAACACAGGCACCCCTCTCTGGGTGCTTTCTCACACACCTCAGAAGGACAGAATAAGAGCACTTATCAGAACTGTTCGAATTTTAGAGTTTGAGGAGGCCTAGAATTTCTAGTCCAAACCCCTGTTAGAGACGATGAAGCCCAAGCCAAAAAGTGCTTGCCCAAGGTCCCCCACTCAGGCCATGGCAGAGCCTAGAAGCCAGGTCTCCTGCTCCCTTATCCTCTTATCCTATGGGCTTTCTTTTTTTGGGGGGGGGGAGGAAAGGGAGAAGAGCCTAGTACTTAATAACCGCTAACATTTATATAGCAACTTAAGGCTTACAGGTACTCTACATAAATTATCTCATTTGATCCTCAAATCAACCCAGTGAGGTAGATGCTGTCACTATCTCATTTTACAGATAAGAAAACTGAGGCAGATGGCAGTGAAGTGACTTGTTCAGAATCACAATTATGGTGACTAAGGCAGGTCTTTCTGTCCCCAAGCTCAGCTGCCTAAAAGCCAGGACTTCACCCCTGTGGCTGCTTCCTTTATCGATTCCCCTCGGCTTGTGAGAGGGCTGGAGAATTGCTTTGTCTCAACATATTTTACCTTGTGGTCTATGTGGTAATGACCAGACATTTAGTCCGTCATCCAGCCCACAGGCAAGGCCTTCTCAGCGTGGAAGGATATGCCACAGCTTCCTCTCTTGGCACAGCCTTTGGGAAGCCAGGGTCACCTCCATGCCATGCAGGGCTTTGGAAGAAGAATTTCAGAAATGATGATGGTCAAATATTAAAACTGACACTAGGATAAGCTTTGCTGATTAGGTCTCAACTTGGCCTTGTTTTTTTCAAAAACTAAATCTGGAAGGGGAAAAAAAAACGCTTGCTTTGCTATACTGGGTTATTAGAAAGTTAAAGAAATAGGATTGTTTACACTACTGCAGTATTAGTCAAAGCCAATTTTGTTGTTCAGGAAACGAAATATTTCAGCTGGTGCTCTCTACCTCACAAGAAGTTGTGGGAACGAAGGCTCTGCTGCTGGTACAGGCTCTAAGCTCCTAGTACAGTGACTCCCTTCACACAGGCAGGTAGACATACACAGCTGTTTGAATACAGATCTCACTGTGTCTGCCACACTTGCATGCTTGGGACACAGTGCACTGCTCCTTGCTGAAAGAGGGTGCCCATGGGAGCTATTCTACACCCAGAGGAAGACGGCTGTTTCGCAGGAAACTGAACAATAACTTCTCTAAGCTGGAGCCCACCCAGATGAATTCCAGATAGTCTTGAGGGACATCACAGACAGCACAGCTGTTAATGTGGATAGGAGAGTCTGGAGTCACTCTGGTGCCAGCACTATGTTACATGCCTAATTGGTTTGATGCCAGCTCCCTAGTAACATGCATAATTGGCTAACTGAATGTCACATAAGCTTAAAAGCCTGATCCTCAGAGATCTTCCTCAGCAGACTACAAGACTATAGTAGAGTCAGAGAATCATAAACAACGCTATGTTGGAAAAATGTTTCAGGTACTCACTAAATGAACAGTAAATAATTTCAATTAAATGTACAGAAATCAAACTAGAAAGCATTAAGAGGAAAAATTTTTGGTAGTAACTGCTGACATTTCTTCTTTTCTAAACTTTGATATGATTTTAGGTTTTTTCTTCCACTATTTTTCCTTTTGTGAGTAAAAATGAACCCTTAGCCTTTGCTACATAGGTCTTTTTGTCCCAACATGTTCCCCAAGAGACACACACTTGTATGGTAAGTTCTGTCTCATCACTTCAGAACTAAAGAGTACCATTATGCTGCTTTTCATCCACTGCGAGCAAATTTTTTACTCTCAGGTGTTAAAAATTGCTATTGCCTAGGACTGGGCCAGGAAAGAAGAGAGCCGACTCTGTCTTCCTTCTCACCTGAATGTCGAAGAGCTGAGAATCCTTGTTCGTCCTCCCATTCCCAGGCTGGTTCACTCTGGTTAAATACAGGGTAGAAGTCTGGGAGTTCATGGTACCAGTCAATGTCTGCACTGCTATAATAAAGTCAAACTATGAATAAGAATATGTCACATTGGTCAAAGGACATGAACAGGCAGCTTTTCAAAGAAGCTGCACAAATAATCAACAATTGTGTTTACAGCCAGTAATCAGAGCAACGTAAATTTAAAACGAAACATCATATTATACTCCTATCATCCTGGCAAGGATGGAAAAATTCAAAGTTGCAGGGAGCTGTGAGGAAATATACTTATCAAGTCACCGTTGATGGAGCTGTGAATTGGTCCAAACATTTTGGAAATCTGTATGTGACCGTATAGTAAGTTACAATATTGTTCCTATCCTTTGATCCAGAAATCCTAAGGTTTATAACCTAAGGAAGTTATTGGACCAGGCGAGCCAGGGTGTTTCCTTTGATTGCCTGCCTGTGTCTTTAAAACTGCCCAGACTGAGCTGTTAGCTCTCTTTTTTGGCAGCTGTTAACTGCTGTGTCCAGAGGGTGAAGATCCCAGTTTACCCAAAGGCAGGATGCCATGAACTGAACTGGGGAGGGGGACAGGACTTGCTTTCCCTGCTCTCCTTTTACCCCTGGCTCTGAGAAATGGGCCTGGGGTTGCTTGTTTCTGTTCTCTGGTGTTTGTCTTCCTCAGTTTCAGGTGCCAGAGGTGATTCCCGGGGGACCAGGAGTTCAAGCCATAGAGACGCTGGTGCCAGGACTGCAGCCAGCCATCCCCGTACTAAAGTCTGGAGAAGCCAGGGTGCCTGCAACTTGAGCCCCAGGGGGGTTCTGGACTTGGAACTGGAACCACACTCTCTGGGAACTGAGCTAAGCTAGGAAACCTAATCTTCTTCCCTTTCCCAGAGACTGACGTGGTAAAAAGGGGTGGGGATTGTGCCTCCCTGGGCTAAGGGTGAGTAAGTTTGTATATCTGTGATTATACTTTCTGAAGTAAATATTTCTGTGTTAAAGCTAATCTCATTATTAGTGGCTAAATGGAACTAGGGTGCAGAACATCTCCTAAAATTGAGGGGGCATCATTAGTGGAGACTGGAGCCATCTGTAGAGCTGAGATACCCCACAAATCCCCCTTTAAGGGACTAGAGAACCCTGGGGGGGGGAAGGGAAACCATAAACTCTAACATCTGGACTAGGCACTGAGAGCTAGAGTGGACTGTGTTACAATTAAAATTTTCAGCTATAATTCTTAGAGCTCACATTGTATGGAGCTTTACAGTTTACAAAGCATTTTCTCATTTGATCTTTGTAACAACTCTGTGAAGTAGCCAGTGTGAGTAGTGTTATATACATTTTACAGTTTAGAAAATGGAAGTTCAGAGATGTAAAAGTCAAAGTCATGGGTGGGGGAGGGAAGGGGGAAGAGAAGAAGGACCATAGCCCAGGTCTCTGGATCCCATCTTCAGCCCTCTTTTCACTGTGATACATTGTGCAAGTGGTGAAACTTTTTTTTCTTTTTAATTGGTTTACTTTATTATTGTTTTCCTGCCCCATTAAACGGAAAAGGATAGTCTTGCCAGAAGAGAAAATATAAAAATGAGTTAAGACAATAGCTGCACATGCACATAACGCAATTTTAAGATAAAACTGAACCACAACAAAGTTCAAAATGAGTTATAACTGTGGCTTAAAAATTTTAAACATTATTATTGAGGAGAAGATTAACAAATAGTCATTAAACTCTATCAATATCAAAAGATAAGAATAGCCAGTTGGTAATCACAGCTGGGGCAGCGAGTGGTGCAATAGATAGAGTGTCAGGACCAGAGTCAGAAACACTCATCTTCCTGAATTCAAATCCAGTCTTAGACACCTACCAGCTGTGTGACCCTGGGTAAGTCACTTCACCCTGTTTGCCTCAGTTCCTTCATCTGTCAAATGAGCTGGAGAAGGAAATGGCAAACCACTCCAGTGTCTTTACAAAGAAAACCCCACATGGGGCCACAAAGACTTGGATGTGACTGAAACGACTGAGCACCAACGACAAAATCACAACTAGGTAAATAAAACAAATTCAGAATCTAAAAGTTCTTCCTACCGCTCCAGACTTCTTACACTTTGCTGCCTTCCAAGGACTCTACCATCCAGCGATGCTGGCTACTTGCTTTCCCTCATATGACTTTGGGGCTTGTCACTGCCCATCCCCCAGGTCTGAAGGGCTGACCATCCTCATCTCCAAATTGTAACTTCCCTGACTTCCTTCAAGATTTAGCTCAAATCTCACCTCCCACAGAAGCCTGCCTCCCTCTCTAACCATGCTAGTGCCTTCCTTCTGAGATTGCAATCAGTGAAATAACGTACATTTCATATGTCTTTTACGTATGTAGTTTTTTGCATGTTGTTTTGTCCATGAGAAGGCAGGGACCAGATTTTTGCATTTCTTTGGATTCCCAGTACTGAGCACAGTGCCTAGCAATTTGCTGTTGTGGTTCAGGTGATGCTTAAAAGACTCCCTCGGCCCCTGGTAGAAAGCATCCTATGTTTCCAGAGGTACAAAGCTTACACCATGACTCCTACTTTTCAGAAACTTAACAGAGAATCTTTTCTCTTGGATTTCAGGGTCTGTTGTTAATAGGAATCATTCATCTTACAACAAAATGGGGCAAATGTGATTCCCAGAGTCTTGGCCTTTCCCGATGCCCTGAAAGAATTCTTTATAGGAGGCCCAACTATAAGGTCCACCTACTAAACCCTTCTAAGACATCTACCCCCAATTTTGGAGTATCTTCTAAATTATGAATAGCATTCCAGATATCCAAAGAAATAAGATAAGAGACAAGAGGCTGTCTGCTCACCTGCTGATGCAGTCCCCTGTGAGGGGGTCACAGCTTCTTGCACAGTCACATGGTCTGCAGCCATATTCTCCAAAACCCCAGTATCCTACCATACACTTGTCACAATGAGGGCCTGCCACTCCAGGTTTGCAAGGGCAGTCACCATTGCTGGGGTCACAGAAGGTTGATGAGCTGAAGGGAAGAACAGCTGACCCAATGGGATGGCAGGAACACACTAAAAGAGAATCAACACACAAAATACCTTCAATTCTAAATTAGTTACTTATGGACTATCCATGATCCAGGCTGATATTCTCGTTGTCAATCAGCACACCCACAAACTGTCACATCAGTTGGTATGTGCCCAGGGAATGCAAACTAACTTGCAGATATTCTGTTGCAGCTACAAAACCACCACCACCACCACCACCACCACAAAACCCACTCCTAAATCCCCAAACCAAACCAAACTCCAAAACTATAGGTATGTTACAGAATCAAATATGAATGGTCTTTGCATTATCTGCTTCCTGAATTCTCTTCATATTTACAGAAAATAATTGAATATGATAATATTTTTAAGTAGAGGAAAGAAAACTTTCTTGGTGGAAATAGCTTTGTCATTGTTTAGGGAAACTGCCGGCCTGAGTATTATCCTATGTCTTTAGTGTTTTCTCTAACCAGAGCATACCAGCCACTGGAAGATGAAGTGTCTTTGAATGGTCTCAAAATCCCTGGCCTGATTTTGAGAAAAGGAATGAGGATCATCTTTAGGTTTGGGCCATCTTACAGGTCAAAGGAGTCATGTGGGTTGTCAGTTCTGGGGATTTCATGGGGCTTCTAGCTCATAAATGAGTGTCATGAAGGACAAGTACCTCACTGGCTCCTCAAAATGTCTTGAATCTTTGGATGAACTTCAGAGCTTACACTCCTGTTCAGGGGTTCATTGGCCTAGGACCTGTCCTAGACTCAAAGTACCCTAGTGAGGGTAGCTATAGGCTCCCTAAATTGGTCCTAAGAATCTCAGAGTTCAGGCCAGGGGCTTCTCCTCACAGTCTTATGCCAACAGCATTTTAAAAAATACTGGGTTGTAACTAACAGTCTGCACCTTTGTATTACAGCAGAACCACAGTATAAAGCAACTAGATGCCTGAGCCCTCCCTGGCAGGTGTGTTACTTGGACACGCTCCCGAGCTGAGCAGACTTGATCTGCCTCCATATATGCCAAGGGCCATCTCTGTCTTACACACTTCCATGTCAGGAATGGATAAGGCTTCTTGTGTTCTTCCTTATATGGAAGTTCCATCTATGGAGAAGAGACATGACGATGTGGAGTGGAAAGAGCCTCAGAACCATGGCTACATTTCTTCACCCTCTCAGTTTCCACAGAAAGGAAGCAGAGATGTTTGCCATGGTGGATTTCTGCTGACATTAACCTGACAGAATTAAGGGAATACAAGTCTAGAGATAGGCAAACGAAGGGGTCCTACTGGGCCATTTTAACTGAGATTTCTAATTCTTTTATTTGCTCAGATTCACCTCCCTCCTTTAGAATGTGCTCAGAGGTAACTTAAATGGAATCCAGTGACAATACCAGCAATACTTGTAGGCACTAAGGCAAGAAAACAGATAACCCTGCCAAAGTGATCTTCCCAAAGTGCAGATCTGAACACGTCACCCCACCTTCACACCCCCCCATCATTAAACTCCAGGGGCTCCTCCCGATTACCTCCAGGATCAAATATAAAATTCTGTTTGCCTTGTTTCCATTTTAAAGTAAGTTTTTATTGATATATTTTTATACCAGTTTCCCTTTCCACCAGTATTCTTCGAGAGCTGTTCCATATAACAAACATTATTTTTATAGACAAAAAAGAAAAAGAGGAAAAAAATCATCATGACTAATCAATACACTGAAGAAGGCTGAAACTCTGGCAGTGCACAACCTAAGTGGGCCTCACCCCTTTGTAGAAGGGATGGGACGGGAACATCTGTGTGGATGTTGTGTGATTTGTCCTTCATTCTCAAAGAGGACCATGACATCAGGAAGATGATGCCATTACTTGCAAGGGAATTGGATTAAAAACTCTGTTTAGTTTTTAAAGCCCCTCCCCACATGACCCCTTCCTACTCTCCCAGTTGTCTTTTATGTTATACCACATATAATACAATTCAGCAACACTGGCTCCTTGCTGTTCTTTGCACAAGATGCTCCATTTCCTGACTCAATCTATTTTCACTCAGTCTCCCAAACCTGATATGTTCTCTCTCCTTTCTCCCCATCCTGGCTTCCTTCTAAAACCTCACCTGCATGAAGCCTTCTCTGGTCCTGCTCAATGCTAGTGCCTTCCCTCTGAAATTACTTCTAATTTACCTAGCATGTACCTGGAATATACATAGTTATTTACATGTTTTCTCCTCCATTAGAATATGAACTGCCTGACAGCAGGTGCCATTTTCTTTTGGTCTTTCATGTTATTGTATTCCCAAAGCTTAATTAGGATGGTGCCTGACACATAGGAAGCACTTGATCAATGCTTGTTGATTTGTAGATAACCATGACAAAATTCTAATGATATGGACAATTTTGCAGGTTTATGACTTTGATTTTTTTTTTTTTGCCTATAGGAATCTGAACCTAAGAATGTACCATAGAAATGATAACCTAATTTGGTTTACTGTCATACTTAATCAAGTAGCTTGCTCTTATGTTTTACTCAAACGAAATTTTTTACTACATACATAACAGTAGATCAATACTCCGTACATCATCTAAATGAATCATTAAATATTTCCTTTATCAGATCCTAAATGGATATTTTCTTTTTGAAAGGTGGTGATGACGAACTCATTTAACCTGAACAATTGTGAAAGCATAGAATGTCTCAGACTGTTACACGTTTCTCAAGGGTAATATGTTTTAAAAATGTAACATTTCGGCCAGGAAAAAAAAAAGATTTAATGTAGGAATCTAACTATTAGCATTTGCTGAAGATAATTTAGATGTATTAAGATGTTCCCTATTAGACTGTGAGCTCCTTGAGGGCAGGGACTGTCTTTTACCTCCTTTTGTATCACCAGTGCTTAGCACAATGCCCAGCACAAAGAAGCTGCCTAATAAATACTGACTGATTCATCGGTTGTTGAACTTTGTCGTTTGAATGCTTGGAGCTTCTTAGTAGAAAAAGATCTTGGAGAAATGCAGATATCTTTTGTTTTTACATCACCTACATCTCCCAAGCATACAGTTTTATTTACTGTCATGTTATTTTTAGAATAGGTTCCTTACCTGACTTTCTAGAGTTGGGTTTTATTATGTAACCTTTGGTTATGCCAGGAGGGCATTATCAGTTTCTCCTAACTTTTTTACAATGAAATGAAGGAAGACTGGACTCTAGAATAGGAATTTATCAACAAATGATACGATTAGTATAGACTTTAAAGGAAATACTCTGGTCCAAATCATGAAAGTGCCATAATTTTGAAGTCATCAGACAAACAGGGTGATTCTGTTGTCACAGAAGCTAAGAAGTATTGGGGTTTATTGTAAAGGAAGGGCCATAGATATGGGGCTTAACTGGAATGTAGAAATCTCAAGCTGTCTAACATTAGAACACATTGAGTACAATATCTTTTCTATCTTGAGGTCTGATTGAATGCTGGGAATATTTATAGTATTTGACCTTATGTACTGTGTGTCTTTTTTTAAAGGTCTATACTCATTTTAGGAATAACCACTTAATTCAGAAGGGAATGTGATTCCATCATCTATGCCAACAGACCTCTCAGTCCTCCAAATCAATATGACTTTTTGCATAATTACAAGATAAAAATACCAGCCAGAAACTATGCAAAACTAGCTTGAGGCGGAAGGCTCCAAAACCTTTCACAGCATATTTTCCCAGCGTAGCACACTGAGGCTTGCCTCACATACCTATCTTCTGAAGTTTGCAAAGCAGTTAACATCTGACACACATACTAAATTTCTTATTTTCCTCAAGCTCAGTGCTGACTCTCAATGACACTTTTCCAATCTTTATTTCCCACTGACTATTAACCTTGAGCTATGGTCTGGGCACTTGGTTTTCCACAGCTAACTGCCAAAATCACTAAAAGGACAAATACAACTCACAAACCTGACTAGAAAAAGTCCAATTCGAGAAACATAAATCTCTGACTGCAGCTGTGACTTTCTCTGTTAGACATTCAAAACCAATAGAGAAGCCAGAATTAGCTTTTAAACATCATAGCTCTTAATTGTTCATTTTACTTTTTCGTTTACACAGCTGTGGTGAGGTGTCCTTAAAAAGACAGCATGATATCTCAAGTGGCAGCCTGACATACTGAAGAGAAAGCTGTGTGGCCATGTCTACAATGGCAAATTGCTCATAAAAGGAATGTGAGCATATTTTCCAAAACATTTTCCCTGGGTTGTCTAAACTGCAAAATGTTATTAAAAAGAAAATGTTTCTGAAAATGTTTATACCATCTTAACTGCCCAAACACATTTTGAAAGTCCTTCTTTAAACATACAGTTTTTACATATAGTTTTCCCATTCTAAGAAAACTGAACACAAACTAATTTAAGCTTACTTACACAACAGCTAAATTAGTATGAGACTCTTTTCAAAGGAATTTTTATATTACTGAAGAATTTGCAACAAGTTTCGTTCATACAGTGAATTAAAAATTGAACTTGGGTCAAGTTCAGTGGCTCTGCCCATTCTTGTTTACTTCAGAGTCACTTCCACTTCCTACAGAAGCTTGTCCAAAACTAGACTGCTCAGAGCCCAAGTGTGGTAGTTCTGATGGTAAAAGGAGCAATTTAAAAAAATCTTTTCAAGTCTTTTCCATTTTCCTTTAGTGTGTTATCCTCCTTCCGTTTTCATCCCTAAACGTACCTGGGATGAACTGGCTCTTTTATATCTCTTGCCAAGTTCTCCTTGAAGTTTTACCCCCTCCTGGCTTCCTCACTGTTTTATGAGGTGACACTGTTCATAATTTTTCACCATCTTCCTCCTGGAGATTTTGCAAATAAGGTTTTATTCTAAATAGGTACTGTACTTTCCTATCATATTTCTCTGCCTAGCAAGGAGATGATGTGTTTGTTGGCCAAAGTGGTTTCTAGGTTGTTTTTTTTAAAATCTCTCTTTGTTGGGGTGATTAATTTATTTTGGTTAAACTTCCTTAGGAAATGGCAGTTTGTTTTGACATGTTTTTAAAATTGATTTAGTATTTTTGGCATCAGTAGCAACAGGTCAAGTTGTGATTGCTTAAATTAAAGACCATGTTTTCTTTTCTTTTCAGTCTTTCTTCTAGGACCACAAGATCACAGGTTTACAGCTCGAAGGAACTTCGGAGATTGTCCCATTTGGTCCCTTTATTTTACAGATAAGGACGTTGAATCCTAGAGAGATTAAATGACTAGCTACATCAAGGTCATACTGGTAGGCAGTGGCATAACTGGGCAAATCCAATACTCTTTCCCTTGCATCACAATGTCTCCTAATTGGTATTAATTTTGATTCTTGTTCTAAGAACTTGATGGTTTGACTATACTCATAAAGCTGTTTGACTCTCACATTGGTAACCAGTGGTCGACAATTTTTTTGGTGATTTTATTTGTTGTTTATCACATCTAGTGTTTCCTGACTCTTTTTTTTAAGAAGATGTATATCCTATATAGCCACAAGCTTCTGTACATTCTAACAAGCCTTTAGCCTCTCTATTTGTTACTCCTGAAGCATGTTTTCCAATATATTTTTTTTACATTCTCTCCTATGCACAACTTTTCTTGGAAGTTAGTGAATATCAAAATACATGTTGATTTAAATTGGAGGGTCTAACTGAGTTTTTCACAGATTTTCTCTACCTCCTCAGTCTGCAACAGATATTGGTACATAATCTACATTTAGATTCACGGTAGTGTTTTTACAAATTATATTATGAATACTAAAATATTAGTGACTATCTCATGATATGATACTTATTGTTGCCTTTGAATACACAATAAATACCAATAAATTGAATACATAATAAAACGAACTCTTTCATTTGCCTCTCCAAAGTGGCTTTGTTTTGCCAAGATTGCCAATATTGATACTTTTTAGGTTTCTCCAGTAGGAGGCCCATTTACTGGTCAGTAGACAAAGGATTTCACATTTAGATTACTAATATCCAAGCTAATATTTGTAGACTGATTAAAATCTGCATGATTCATAGCACTCTTTGCCCCTTTTCTGCCACCATCACTGAAGAAAGACAAAGGAAGCCATAAAGGGCTAAGGGTCTGTTTGTATTTTTCTTTGTTTTATGGGTTGCCACAGCAAAGGGTTCATCCCCAAGTGACCAGTCTACTGTTTAAACAACTCTCTATGTTAAGCTAGTCTGGTTCTCAGAAAGAAAGACAGTCTGTGGCTATGACTGTGCTCAATGTCTCAATGGCAGAAACCACTCAAGTGAAGCTATGTCACTACCACAGCCTTTGGGGACCCAGGGTCACCCCTATGCTAGGATGAAACATCGGAATAAGATTCTGTAAAGACTCAAAGTTTCAAGGAAGAGGCCAAAAAATGGCAACCCCCCCCTTCTCCAATAACCCTCTAAAATCCAGAATGAAGAATTCTAGATAACATCATTTCAATAGGGTTCTAAAGCCCCTTGTTGTAGGTCAATAAAAACTACTGTTCTCTCCTCTAGAGAATCTTCACTACAACTTGAGTCTATGTGTATCCCCTGAGTGTAATGTATGATGCCCCAGAGAGGAGGAGGGATGGCCAATAACAACTTGATGGCCTTGTGATCTTATCCCTGCAAAATGCCTGGATCTCCAGCACTTCCCTGATGGCTCCTTAACATCTGATTGTTCTTTTAGTAAAAATTAGTAGTGAAAGGAAAGCAACAAAATCCCAACCCCCAAACAGTGAAACACTCCTGATTTAGCTTTTCTAAATATGGAACTAAAAGTTCAAGGTCTTCAGCTGGGAAAGAAGCTGCTTTTCAAGTTCTTTCACCACTGCCCAATAGCTTCTACTTTAGTGGAGCCGCCCCCCAGACTCCCAACATTGTTTTCTCCTGAAAAGGCCAAGGCCCTACAGAATTCCTGTTGGAGCATTTCTAACAGCAAACGCATTTTCAAAGATACTCAGCTGCCTGCCCAGGTCACTAGAGGGGAACGGAAGTTGAGGGAAAGGGTTTGGGAAATGAAACTTCTAGTAAAAAGAAGAGAATATGAAATGTTATTATAATAGTAGGTGTGAAACTAAACATTTAGAAAAGAAAATGAAGTTCACTATCTTTTTTGGTTCTGTTGTCTCCTTTCTTTCTACTATCAACTATTTTCCACAGTAGAAGAAGAGCTTAACAAAATAAGAAAAAAAACTGAAAAATGAATCTCATTCCATCAAATAAAGACATTTAAAAATCTTTAACAACATATAAAATCAGTTTTTTGAATGCTTTAATAATAAATCTGCATACTGTTTTTAAAGATGGTAAATTTCAATAGTACTGGAAGTGGGTGATATGGAATTATTAATGTACACTATATAAAATCTCACAGGTCAATGTAACTTCAGTATGAGTTAGATTTTAATGGTTTCACTTGCTGAAAGCTATGTTAACCTCTTTAAAAAGTCAAGATGGTAGAGTCCAAGGTCACATCTGCCAAACATCCCCCAAAACCATTCCTATAAAATGACCACAGAAAATACCAAACAGAATCCTGAGCAGGAAAGCTAAGAAAAAGTCATAGTGAATAATTTTTTCATCTAAGGGCAGCTTAGGAAGGTAGAAAAAGAGGTCTGTGGATATTGCAGCAGGAGCCTGGACGAAGTGTGGACAGTAACGGAAGCAACACTGGCTGTGGGCTGCAGGGGAGCAGTACTCAGGGATGATGAGGGGACCAAACACAGGGTCAGAAAAAGATCCCCAGAGACTCCTGTACTAGAACTGGGCACAGGAACAGGTGCCATAAGGCAGCTCTGTTGTTCATTATTCACTTGAAGGTATCAATTCCAGGATGGAGTGCAGATTGGAAAGGCAGGGACCAGATCTTTTCACAGATCACAGCATACTGGAAGCATCAAAAACCTACAGGCTCCTAGATTGAGCTGGGAAATCAAAAGGACAGAAAAGATAGAGGCTCAGGTGAATTCCACCTCCTCTCTCCCAGAGGTGAGCAGAGCCCAATTGTAACATAAAATCCAAAGTCAAAAAGTAGGCTAGAAAAATGAGGAAACAACAACAACAACAACAAGAACCTAACCATAAAAAACTATTATAGTGATAGGGAAGCTTAAGCCATAAACTCAGAAGAAGACAATAACATCTAAAAGAAACATCTAAAAGCAAAGCCTCAAAGAAAAAAAATGCAGATTGGACACCAGCTCAGTAAGGCAGAAGAGCTAAAGAAAGAGCTTAAAAACTCTAAAACAAATAGCAACAATAAAAAGATTTGAAAAATCAAAAAAAAGAGTGGTAGAGGAAAAATTAGGAAAAGAAATGAAACTTGTACAAGAAAATTATGAAAAGACAATTAACAGCCTGATAAAATAAGCAAAAAAGAAATTCAGCAGAAATTGACTCCTTAAAAATTAGAATTGGTCAAGTGGAAGTTAATGACTCCATGAGACATTGGAAACAATAGGAGTCAAAAGCCTGAAAAAAAAAAAAGGAGAAAATGTGGCATATCTCATAGGAAAAAATCTGAAGACAGATCAAGGACAGACAGTCTGAGAATTATTGGCCCACCTGAAAGCCATGAAAGAAAAGAGCCTAGATATCATATTTCAAGAAATTATAAAGGAAAACTGCCCAGATATCTTAGAACTAGAGGACACAGCAGAAATTGAAAGAATCCACTGATCACACCTCCTGAAAAAGATTCCCAAATGAAAACTCCCAGGAATATTATAGCCAAAATCCAGAGCTCCAAGCTTAAGAAGAAAATACCACAAGAAGTCAGAAAGAAATTGTCTAAACCATGAGGCCACAGTAAGGATCACATAAAATTTAGCAGCTACCATTATAAAGAAGCAGAGGGCTTGGAATGATTTTCCAGAAGGCAAAGAAACTACAACCAAGAATAGCTTATCCAGCAAAACTGAAGAAGTGTGGACCCTCACTCAGGGTCCACATAATCCTACAGGAGGAAAATGGACATTTAATGAAATTGAGGATTTCCAAGCATTCCTGATGAAAAGATCAAAACTAAATAGAAAATTTGACCTTCAAAAACAAGTCTCAAGAGAAGCATAAAAAGGTAAACATTAGTGAGAAATCATAAGGGATTTACTTATAAACTACTGACATTACCAAATGGGCGGATGATACATATATGTAACCCCTAAGAACCTTAGACAATGGGCATTACAATTATAGAAACAACAAAAATTACACAATCATATCAATAGCTTCAGAAAAACTTTTGACAAAATACAATATCCATTCCTATTAAAAACACTAGACAGCAGAAGAATAAATGGTGCTCTTCTTAAAATGACAAGTAGTATCTATCAAAAACCAAGAGCAAGTCTTATCTCTAATGGTGATAAACTAGAAGCCTTCCCAATAGGATCAGAGAGCAAGGATGTTCATTATAACAACTATTATTCAACATTGTACTAAAAACTAACTGTAGCAATCAGACAAGAAAAAAGAAAGAGAAAGAATGAGCATAGGCAACAAGTAACAAAACTGTCATTTTTTGCAGTTGATATGATGGTAGACTTAGAGAACCCTATGAATCAACTGAAAAACTAATTGAAACAATTAACAACTTTAACAAAGTTGCAGGATATAAAATAAACCCATACAATCACCAACATTTCCATATTACCAACAAAACCAAGCAGGAAGCCATACAAAGAGAAAGCCCATTTAAAATAACTGCAGACAGTATAAAATACTTGGAAGTCTTCCTGCCAAGACACATAAGAACTAATATGAACACAGTTACAAAACACTCTTCACACACATAAAGATGGATCTAAACAACTGGAGAAATATTAATTGCTCATGGGTGGGCTGAACCAATATAACAAAAATGACAGCACTACCTGAATTAATTTACTTATTCAGTGCTACCAAACTACCAAAGAATTATTTTATACAGCTAGAAAAAAACATAACAAAATTCATTTGGAGGAACAAAAGGTCAAGACTATAAAGGGAATCAACGAAAAAAAATCTGAAGAAAAGGGGACTAGCATTAACAGATCTCAAATTAAATACTACAAAGTAGTAATCACTGAAACAATTTAGTGCTGGATAAGAAATAGAGTGGTTGATACATGGAACAGATTAGATAAACAACAGGCAGAAGCAACTGAGCACAATAATCTGGTGTTTGATCAACCCAAAGATCCCAGCTATTGGGTCAAGAACTCACTCCTTGACAAAAACTGCCAGGAAAAAGTGAAAGTAGTCTGACAGACCGCTATCTCACACTGTAGGCCAAGGTAAGTTCAGAATGGGTACATGATATAGACATAAAGGATGATATCACAAACATATTAAGGGAGCGTGAAAAAAATTACCTGTCAGATCTACAGACAGGGGAACAATTCATGACCAAACAAGAGATGAGGAGGATCACTGCAGGTAAAATGGATATTTTGATTACATGAAATTAAAACGGCTTTATGCAAATAAAACCAAGGCAGATCAAATTAGAAAGAAAGCAAGAAACTGGGAAAAATTTTACAATAAGTTTTTCTGATAAAGGTCTTATTTCTCAAATATATTAAGGAACTGAACCAAATTTATAAAGATAAGAGCCATTTCCCATGTGATAGATGGTCAAAGGATATGAACAGGCAGTTTTTAGAAGAAATTAAAGCCATTAGAACTCATATTTTAAAAAATGCTCAAAATCACTAATAATTAGAGAAATGCAAATTAAAACAACTCTGAGGTACTACTTCACACCCATTGGATTGGTTAAGATGACAGAAAAGAAAGATAATAAATACTGGGGGAATGCAGAAAAATTGGGA